ACTGCCCTAGGTTTCGGAGGATGGGTGAATAAATCAATCTGAAAAAAATGACAGAATATTGCACTTCATAAATAAACGCCGGGCCCCGATTAAACGCCGGCTTCAAATAAACGTCGGGTCCACGAGGCCAATTTTGAAATAAACGCCGGGGGCGTTTAATTGAGAAAATACGGTACAGGGATTATATTGCGCCAGGGCTCCTTTTCTTTGTTCTGCGGGGAGGGGGCGGGGGGAATCAATTAAATACACTCCATGAAATATAAAGAGTCTTAGAAGCTGGTGGTGGCTTTGATTTGGTGGCTTTGATGGTAACGAGGGAGATCGGGGCTGATCAGTTCCCCTGAAATATTGTCCTGATATTACCCGCTCTAAAACATGCTCCTCTATTCGTTCCTCTAACACCCACGGCAACAAAATAAATGTATTCCTCTAACTTTCCAAATGATACTATTTTCAATACAATAATTGAATACTTGCTAATCAATTCTGAGCTAGCCAGTTAACGTGCGCAAAAAGCCGCGCTATTCACTTGTTTGATACTTACTAACGCTTAGGGAATAAATTTGTTTTTCTACACGTAAGATGTTCGGAACTTTCCTAACAAAAGGCGCCCTGTTACAGCTCCCGATTCTGTAAATGTTGCTTTTTTGCTTATGATCCATTATGCACCAGTGAAAACCAGTTTTGAAGTTGTTCGCCAGTTTTAATCTGTTATCAGTTTCCTTTATTCTCGAGAGAGACGCATTTAGCGGTGCGTAAGTTAACACGTTGTTCTGGGAATTAGGTGCGAACCGAGGACCAAGAGGGTTGAAGTTCAAGCTATTATCAACGTGCGTTAGTTTCGAAGTGTCGTAGCGTGACATTCACAGCATTTGTAATATTTGCGAATGTTGAATATTCCACGAGGTTAATTGAGTCGCCACAAAACTGACATCGCCATCGACAACAGCACGCGTCAGATACAGGTATGTTTTAAACCTTGAGTTGTAATGTACAAAGTTCATCTTGCTTTCTTCCGCTCTCAGCCGAGTTGTTACCAAACAAACGTCCCGGAAACATGCAAACTTTGATACACGCGATGTAACTTTACTGAGCCCTTTATAATGGCCCTTTGAAAATAAACACTAAAGAATGTAGTTGCACTCGCTACCGCTCGTACGGTTAATGAACAAATTTTTAAGCCCATGATCTCAGGTAAAGTCGCAGATATTGTTTAAGGATTAGTTCGTGTCTTCGACTGAATGAATATATAAAGTAATAAGCGATTCGCGGACCCTGGGGTGATTCGATCGGAATTGATCTCCCTACATGTAGCTCACGGAATCGAATAATTTATTTGAGATCGATCATCTACTGACCTTCTATACTGCTTCAAGGTCTAATCTGAATTGTTGAAATTATACCGAACTGACGACGGAAAAAATGCCAACTTGAAAGTGACAGAGATGACGATGAGAAATGAAGTCGTGTACTACCAAAAGTAGTATTGGAGGGCTGCTGGCCCGAGCCTAGTTAAATGATGATTCATCAAAACAGTGTTTAAAGGTTTTTATTTGCATATTGGTTCTCAAGATCGATATTTTTCTGACTTGCCAAACCGTGGCGGAGTGTAGATAGGAAGTATTTGTCAAAGTGTCTTAATATATTTAACTCATAGTGCAATGTGGCTTATGTGTGGAAATGATATAACGTGAAGGGGTAATTTAATATTCAAAACAAAGCAGGTGAATATAATAGAATTATTGTTAGCACGGTCTTTAAACCAAAACCAAACTACAACTGCTACAACCAATGAAATAAAAGATGTGGTTATTGTCCATCGTGGTTAGATAGATAAATGTACACTATCATTAGGTGGTCGCGATGTTTCGGCAACTAACTGTAAACTGCCCGAAATAAAGTTACTATCCAACGTTGGATTAATCGAGCGTAAGCGAACTCAATCGAAGTTAATTGCTGGTTTTATTGTCATTCTTTCAAAAATAAAAATCAAGAAACTGATATGTGATAGCTGGATGATATATAAACAACTTCGCCAAGAGTTTGGTCTAGAAGGTTTCTCATACCTACGTTTTTCAGAGACATATTTCACCTAGTACATTTATAGAGACGCCATGTTGACGTCCTGCGGAGTGGAACCAACATGGCGAACATAAAGAAACAGAAACATCTGTCATTGAGATAGGCTCCTAACACGAAACTTTACTACTCTAGAGTTCCGACACATTGAAATTAATATTTCGTTTAATAAAAGGACTGTTGCAGTTATTAGAATTCGAAGATACATCATCTTTTGCCATATGCACGCGATAGCCTTCTCGGCTCGCCATTTTTATGTTACGCAACGCAAAAACTGTCACATACTCGATTATAAAACAAAGACACCCGGTCAAGCTAAACTTTGTACAACTTCAAGTCCTCAGAAGGTCTCATATCTGATGAAACTAAAACCACAAAAGGATGGAGCCAAATGCATTTTCTTATGTTCTGTGGAGTAAGATGAATGTGTTTTTACTAAATATAACGACCCATAGGCGTTGGAAAGCTCAACGATTCCTGGGCTTAGTACGTAAGAAAGACTGCAGGCAGAGAATCATTTTCTCAGTACAGCTTACAATGCGCACAGTCTAACAAATAAACACATTTCAACCTGGATGAGACGACCAAAATTTGTGTGTTTCGCCAGAAATGTGTTTTTCAGTATTTTTAGAGATTGGATGACACTCTATATATCTGAGATTGAACCACACTTTATTCTTTTTTCCCAGTAACACTTACATAAAACCAACTCAAGATGCATTCGGAGTCCAGGCTTGGAAACCATGAGTACCGTAACTGGATTGAAGTGGGGCAATTCCTGTTGTTTCTCTCAGATGTCATACACTCTCATTTAGCAACGGAGTTCAATGCGTTCTACGACGCCTTAACAGTCATGGTAGGGTCTGGAACAAAGTGCCACTGTACGTATGCTCCCCGAAAACATAACACGCACAGCTGTAAGTGGGCTCAAGCCATCGCGAGTTATCACCGATGTCCATCAAAGATCACTTGGTGGGTTTCTGACAATTCTAAATGGGACGATTCTGTATTGGGACCAATGGAAATCGCTCGGCTTTACTCCGGTGAGAAATCCGTGGGCGGCTTACGGTATTTACAGCTTATTCGGCGATGTTCCTATTTTAACGTCTCAGAAAGGTCTCTCAGTGACATTATTGATGTTTGGAAGAATGTCTGGGGAAATGCACCCGGTCAGAGCATTGGTCACGAGGAGAAACTTCGGGCAGTTGATGTAATAACGAAAGTTCTGCATGAATCTTGGTTTAGAGGGGATCCAAACACCAAGAAAGCCTTGAAAGACATCCAATCAGTCGGATTCTGGGATTATTCCAAGCTTCAAACAGCTGAAGTAAATGTGATGCGTAATTACCGAGAGCTACTAGAGAACAAGAGACAGAAAATGGCTGAAGACATCATTTACGTAAACACAAAACTGGAAAACGCCGAAAGTCTGTTGAAAACCGCGCGAGATCCGGACCAACGCACAGCAGTACCTCTGCGGGAATCTTTCTTATTGTGTTTATTTAACTTTGTTGCAGTTAATTTCAAACTTTTTACAAAGAGTCGACAGAATGTTCATCACCATTTGATGGAAGCTCTTTGTGGTTTTCTTTACTGGTTCACGTTCTACGTTTACATTATTCTTATTTTAGCCTCCATCTGTATTCTTGTTGGAGGTTTAGCAGCAACTTTTGCTGCTGTTAGTTGCAGTCTTTATGTGAAAACCTTCAAACAAGTTTGAACAAAGGCAACAGCCTTTAGCTTTCATGCCCATTTATTTTATAAATGCGATAAATTGTTTACCGAAAGCATGTGGCTTTTTTTACTTAAAACCAAAACCAAAGTAATCACTCTGACCAATCACAAAGGAGAAAGGCAATCCGATGAACCAATTCAAAATCGAAGTATAGCTGACGCGAAGCGCAGGAAAACGTCAACGAGCGAATTAGGGTTTTACACATTGTGTTTAAATTTTTCACTATTATGCTAATGCTCGATGCTTAAAAATCTCACTATTATACTCAAAAGGCGTCACTAATATTATGTTGCCAAAAATATTATAATATTTACCCTTAACGCCTATTATATATATATCGGAAGCACGAAGAACGGCTCAAAGTAATTCTCCATTGCTTCTAACTTGGGTATTGCAAAATGATTTTCTTGTAATTAAAAATCTAACTCTGATGTAGCAGAAGAGGGTTGAATTAGCAAAACCTGTTGACATGTGCTGTATGTACTGTGTATAGTCAAGTGGCTGGTGCTCAGTTTTCTCGTGGCCTACCCAAGACCCCCCAACTATCAGCCAGTTTTTGTCACTAGTGACCTCGTGCTCAGTTCTTTTCCCCGACTACTGTGCTCAACTTAATGCGGCTATGATATGTAAAACCCGAGAACGAATGGATCTCTTCGGCGATACGGCGGCCATTTTGAATTTTGTTGTTTCAAATAGCTATTATGGGATGCTCAGGGGGCAAATTAGTATGTCTTTGCCCATAAGCATCCCATAATAGGTGAAGCAATAGAATTCCAAATTGCCGCCGTATCACTGAAAAGGTTCATCACAATTAGTTTTGGTTTATCTTCTTACTGAACGAAAAAGTGGCGCGAGTTTTCTAACCCAATCGCATAGCGTAGTCATGTAAAAGCAATTACTTTCGACAATCAAGAGAAAACCGCTATAACAGATTCCATGTTGCCGTGCGTCTGTTCAATAATAGATCACAGATGACGTCAAAATGTGGTAAGAACATCAGTGACACACTCGGCTATCGCCTCGTGTACCACTTATTTGTTCTTACCACATTTTGTCGTCTTCTGTGATCTATTACTGATCAGACGCACGGCAACATGGAATCTATTTGCTTTATATAATAAAGAAACAACAGAAAAAGCTTTTTTATTGTAAAATCTTTCAACATAACTCGAAAGCTGGCCTTTGCCCACTTTGGCGAACACGAAAAAAAAGCCATTTGACGTAATCTATTGTCTATACAAGATGAAGCAATCTCATTGGTTGCTATGCGAAGCAAAGAATTGTGATTGGTCCAGAAAAATCACGCCACTGTCAAACTTGAGTCGAAAGTCGCTTCTCGTGGATCGAAAACTTACAGTGAAAGTAAAATTGAACTGCGAAATCCACAAATCTTGAAGAAAATGCTAAAAAATGAAGTCGGTTTTTGTCATCAGAGCAGCCCTTTGAGCCGAAAAGCTTGGATGTTGTCTTGAATATCGCAGGAGTTGAAAAATCACGCTCGGAAAACTTGCGCTTACAGTCAACACTGAAGGCCATTCGATTCGAGTTTTGGATGAAAGGAGCGTTAGTGACGGTGGAAATTCGTGTCCTCTGTGGTTGGTGATTCTCAAGTCAGTTTGATGTAGTGTCGGAGACACCTTAGAGCTGGGATACAGTTGGCCGCGAGCTGTAGCTAGCCCTACTTTTCTCGCTACTGTGCCCTGAAACGAAATGGAACATTAAATTCGAGACAAAGCAATGGTTTCTTGCCTTAA